AGCGAGCCCAGCCTATGTGCATATACGTACACACATATATTGATATACACACATATACGTATAGAGATATACGTGGTTTTGGTTCTAGGAAACACTCTAGCAATGCCAACACTTGAAATAAATTTGCGTACACCAGGTAAAATGCTTTCTTCTCCGGTGTCAGAACTCCCGCAGGTAACTACGAAGTATTCACAGCTGTGCAGTGGACACATGGCTGATGGGAACGCTCCATGAGGGCTCGCTCCATCTGGGCCTTCTCGGGATAGCACTGACAGCTATTCCTTTGCCTGGGGCTTGGCTTCCATCAGCTGCGACAATTTACTTTCTTGGAAGACAGCGACAGATGTCACTCTCAGGGAAAAGGCTATATGTCTGCAGAGCATCATCTCCTCCGGTGTTCTGGAGGGGTGATTGCAGTCATTTCTAAGTAGAGGCGAGAGAGGTGATAACCTGAGTTCAGGTCTTGTTATTTCTTGCCGCCAAAGCACATTTGCCTGGTAAATGAGCCGCCTCTGCCTCAAAAACTGACACAGGCTGTCCAGCCTCAAATTTTGGTTGGTGTAGCGGGACGATGAAGATTGAAAAACAAAAAGCTATGCACCCCGTTGTTCATAGCAGCATTATTTACAATACCCCAGTGCTGGAATCAACCTAAGTGCCCATCAATAAGTGAATGGAACCAAAAGCTATGGTACATTTACACAACGGAATACTATGCAGCAGAAAGAAAAGAAAGAGCTACTACTACCCTTTGTGACAGCATGGATGGAACTGAGGAGCATTATGCTAAATGAAATAAGCCAGGCGGTAAAAGACAAATACCATATGATCTCACTTATAAGTAGAACCTAATCAACAAAGCAAACAAGCAGGAAAATATAACCAGTAACACTGAAAGAACAAACAAACTGACAGTAATGAGAGGGGAGGGTGAGGGGGGTAACGGGGGAAAATAAGGGGAAGGGGCAAACCAAAGAACACGTATGAAGGACCCGTGGACAAAGCCCAAGTGGGGCAGGAGTGAGGGTGAGAGGTGCGGGTGGGTGCGGCAGGGGAGAGTGGGGGGGGGGGAATGGAGACAGAGGTATTTGAACAATATAAAAAATTTTAAAATAATTAAAAAAAGAAAAAGCTAAAAAGCGAAACGAAGTTCCAAGAGAGTCACAGAGCGGCTGTGGGTGTTTGCTTATGCAGGCGCTACTTCTCTCTGGCAACGTCAGTTACCTGAAGGCAGCCAAGAGCCACGCAGCCACCCCCATCAAAATGTTACAATGGCGGGGGCCGGGGCGGCTCACCGTGCTGCAAGCGTCTACTTGGGCTCAGGTGCCATGATTGGCTCTTCTAATACACAAGCTCACTCATTCTGGACAGGAACCCTAGCCTAGGAGGCACTGATATTATTTCCACTCTATAAATGTGGAAATTAAAGCTCCGAGAGGTTACATACACACATCCAAAGTCATTCAACTATTCTATGGAGACAACAGCATTTGAACCCAGTTTCTTCAACTCCAAGGCCCATGTTCTTCTTTCCCCTCAACCATACAACCTTCCTGATCAAATCCACCTGTGCCAGAATGTATGCGCCTGACCCCCATACAAGCCGCTGCAGACACACACTCGGGGGCTATTTACAAGCAATGCAGATCCGTCTGATTGTCTGGCACCCTGTCCTCTTCAAATAAGAAGCTCCTGGGGAAGAGGGGGAAGTGTGTAAAGGGTAAAAAAGCAGAATGGGGACGAGGGGATGGATGGGCACGCCGAGAGCAGAGAGATGACAGCTGGGTCTGCATTCTAGCTAACGCGGCTTAACGTCCCTCTGCAGGGCTCACTGTGTAATGCGCAGGACTGACACTCATAAGAACTCGTTTTTGTTCAGCAGCCTCAGTGTAAGAAGGCAGGGAAATACGTAACACTTATTAAGTAAGACTTTCATCAAGAATAGTTAAGCAGAAATAAGGGTAGGTGCTTGAATAGCGTTAACGTCTGGCAAAAAGAGCCCAACTCAGAGCACCCTGTTCCCCCATGAGGCTGGGTAAGGGAAGCACTGGTATAGTGTCAGATTTTCTTGTCTTTACAGTTTGACCTTTTTGATCTCCAGGAGGTAACCACTTATTCTTAGGACTAGGCTTCTAATCTACTATTTCATCTTTTCAAAATTTTTTTATTGTTCAATTGTAGTTGTCCCCATTCCCCCCCTCCCCCCATTTCTCTCCCCTGCCCTATCTCCCCCTTCCCATTGTGTATAGAGCTCTTACTAAATGGAGATCTGTTTAAGATGCCTTTTTTGGGTAAAGATACCATATTAAAATAAGGAGATGGAGGTGGAGCAACGTGTGTCCGCATGCGCTTGTGTGCACGTGTGGTGGGCTGGGGTTTGGGGGGTGGCTTTGGAGCCAGAGAGCCCTGGGTCTGTATCTTTGCTCTGTAGTGTCACTGTGTGGCCTTGACAGGTTTAGCCTCTTTTTTCACACAGGTTCTCCAACTGCGATGGTGAGACAAGGATATCCACCATTGTCCTCTGGGGAACAGATTTTTCTTATCCTCTCTTTTCTGCTTTTCTTATGAGTCAAAATTAAGGTCAAAAACAACTGATGGGCTTCCAAAACACAGCCTAAGGGATATATTTTCTAGACTAGAATGCACTACCTAAATGTAGTGTCTCTATTCCTTCCACAGGGACTACGAGTTAGATCTCAGAGCAGGCAGGCAAAGGGCTTGTTTATTCCTTCTCTTCTCTTGTCTCCTTGGATGCTCTTCTGCCTTGTGGAAGGAGCCCAGCCCAAGGCTACTGTGCCAGTCTGTGAGGACAGCAGCTTAAGCACATGGGTACTGGGCGGCGGGACACACTCGCTCTTTGGCTGGCCCTCTCTTGCTCCCTCCTTCTCCTCGGTAGTCAGTGATGACGCCTTCGGTATCATTTCCTCACAGGACACTAGTTAGGCTCTGCCTCTCACCTTTTGGTTAGAATATACTGACAGGCGGCTAAGGCTAAGCTTAGGTAAGAGCTCCCCACAGCATCCGGACTCATTTACTGACAGTTTTCAAATGCCTAGGGATTCAGAACCCCAGATAATAATGAATACTAGTTTGCCTTTCTTTGATCAGCCATTTCTTTGGTGAACCTTCTAGAAGACAAGCATGGCAGAGGGCAGGATGAAGCTCACTACCATGAGAATACCACCCTAATGGGTAGAGCGATGCCCACTCTCCACACTGTTACGAGGATTCAATGATAGATGCATAGAAAAATACACCTAATGTATGTCTGGTTATTCAATACTGCTAATGCTCAATAAATACTCATTTCCTTCCTCACCCCTATATCTTTTCCCTTATTCATTACAAAGTTAATATGAGAAAGAAACCTAATGCAAATGTGAATATGCTTTTTCATTTTCCTGCCACACGGACAGCACAGCGACCCAATCTCCCAGGAACTAAGCATAGTTAACACGGCGTATCACAGTGCAATTTCCATCCAGAAGAGTTATGATTCTGGAAGTGACTAGTATGGTGCTAAATGTAGTCTATGCATGGAATTCCTGGGTCCTCTGCTCCAAAAGTCCCTTTCTCCTTCACAGGTTTTAAACTATATCTTTGTTTTATTAATTAGTTTTTGTTAGAGACCACAGAAAATATACATCATGACAACACTGTGACAGGTTTACTGCTAGTTTTGTCTTAAATCTTTTCAAATATGAAGCTTCTTAATTCTCCATGTTGTTAATGGTCACATGATTTTTCTTTTTCTTTTTTCCTACCAAGATGATTTCTCCATGTTGTAAATTTATGAGTACTTATTCGGCATCTACTGTGTTCAAAGTTCTATGCTAGGTGCTTCACATTTAACAACTTTATAAAGTACTTAATATACCCCTTATTTTATGATGAGAAAGCTGAGGTGAAGAGAGGTGGAAGAACCTGTGTAAAGTCCCAGCGCTTGAGAATCGAAAATCTGGACACTGCTTTGGAAAATACTTGCTTATTGGAAAGGACAGCAAGGACACTTCTCCTTTCTCCTCCCCAAATACATAGCAACTATCATTTCTTAAAAAGGACATCTAAGGGATCTCTTGGAATCTTCGGAGTCTGTCAGGAGTCCCTTTTTGCCCATATAACCCAGCTCTGGCATGAGAGGAATTACCGCAAACACTGTGGGAGAATCCCAGAGTGCTCTGTCCAGGGTAAAACTGACCGGCTCGGCAGCTAGAAAACGTATCCCTTTCAAAGAAAGGCCTCTGTTGGTGACAGTCTAGTACAGTGGAGAGAACCGTGGAGTCAGAAGACTGATTCTGCTCTGGGCTGGTCATTTAGTGGCTGTGGATTTTTTAGGAGCCTCCTCTAGACTCTTAATTTTCTTCTGTTAAACAGAACATAAGGGACACATACCTGCAAGGGTGTTCTGAGAGTCCACCAAGATCACCTCTGTTCATAGACTATCTCGTTTATCTCTTCAGTTGCTTAGTTCCTGTCTTTCCTCACTATTGTGTAAATTCCACGATATCAGAGAACTAGTCTGTGTATTTCACTATGGAATCTGCAAGGCCTGCATGGAACACTGCCTGGCACATGGCAAATCTTAAAAAGAAATCTGCAGATAAATGAGCAGTGTACTTTGCAAAGCAGTGAAAATGTTCATTATTATTAGTATTACTAAGAAGTTTTAAGTGGAGTTTTCATTAGATTAACTTTTCATAAATAGCAGTACTTGAAACCAGAACTGAATCCAGGCAGTCAATATTTAAATTCAAATGATGATCCTGCTCCTATTTTTTGATGTTTCCCTTGAAATTATTACTAGGTTTTGTTTCTTTCCCCAAATGATATCTGATATGAGCATTTAAATCACATGAAATGAAAATGGTGAGCCTACATTTCTTGTTTCTAATTTTTGTAACCTCCAAGAGTGTTTCTTAGTTTTGCTGATCATTCTGCAACTTCCAGGTTCTCTCCAGATGTGAAAAAATTGCTTACTTGGTGGAGATGCTCGCACTTACTTGATGAAGTACTTGATGCCATCTGCCGTGTAAGCTTCCTCCCACCCGTAAGGTAGGCCTGGAGCGAAAGGAAACCAAAAATACACTGAATAAGATTTAATTAAATGTATTTAATTTCCTAGACACCAACTTCCCACATTTTCCACAATGATTTGAGTACATTTCTTGCACAAAATAATTTTCTAGAAAGGAAGAATGAAAACAATTCAGATGAGCTTTCATACTCAGCTTCTTTAAAACATCATAAATAAGCCCTGAACAGTTCCTCTGCTTTAGTTGCATTAACTGGATTATGACTTGTCATTTACATGTAGTGAGAGCATTTCTGTCAGCAGGATTCAAGTAAAAATTTTCGGTGCAGGGGATGATTCTTGCCTGGAGGCAGAAGGATGGACAAGGTGGCCTCTGCTTGTCTATTCTGGCTCAAAGTCTCTTTAATTGGCTCCCTTTCCTTTATTTTGCTCAGCTCCACTGGGAATGAATGGTGTGCATGAGTGCCAGGTCAGCATGGGTTTGGAAGTAGCTTTTGGACAAGACAGAATGCCTTACGAAGTTTAAAAGTTTAGCAAAGTGATTTAAATGGACTGTGGTGTTATATTTTGTTATTTAAGAATTTTGTGTTCTAAACATAAGTGGCCAAACAATTTGCTAAAGTTAGCTTCCGTTTCTGTAATGGGATTAACAGTTAGCTATAAAGAGGTGCACATTAAAGTAAGCAAGCAATTCTTTGGCCATATTGTTTGTAAATGAGTGCGTTTTTGTCCTCATCACTCCATGAAAACAGGCCCATACTGAGGTAGCCACATTCTCTTATATTCCAATTAGAACCCTCTAGAACACAATGTTGTCCATCCTTCCACTCCATCCCTGAGTACAGCTAAGGATTTTAATTGACCTTTTGGATCAGTCCTTGATACAGGCTTATCATGGCTCCTTTGATGGGTATAGGACAGATTAATGTGCTAAAGAAAGAACTCCAAGCTCAGGGAGCCTCCTTGTTTAGGAGCCTCCTATGATCACTTGAAATTGTTTCTGGTTGGAGGTGTTTATCAAGGAACCTCACATAACTGGGCTACCCCAACAAACCACTGATTTCCATTTACCCAAGCCTCAGGGAGAGGTGGACCAAAGGTGCAGGAACAGTGACTATTTGAATGAAACAAAACCTTACTCTATCACCATTTGCTTTGTAAAGAATATTCTTTGACAGCATCACTCAGAATGTTGTTTTTATAATGAAGGCAAGCAACACAAGCTTTATTTTATGTCTCTCTCCAGTCTAAAACAGGTTGTATAAAATAAGATCCTGGTCAAAAATTCGTAACTATTTCCTTCCTAGGTAAACGCAGGCCACCTAGGAAATACTTTTCTCTCGTAATGGATACATGTTCCTACTTTAAGTAGAAAATGAGCACTTCTGGGAATTCGACATACGCAATTGACTGGCTTCTTGAAAGCTCCTGAAGTGACACTTCCTGTGTGTCCTCCAGTGTCTGCAGCCAGCGGTGCTCAGCCAGCCAGACCGTGAGAAACTTGCTGCTGCCCCAGTGCAAGTACATGCATTTTCTCTCATCGCATTTTCTGCGTCTTTGTTACAGGTCACCTCATTCATCCCTGACAAGCCCTTCGCCTGCAGCGAAGAGTCTGATGACTGTACATAAAGACCCTGGCTTCATGGCAAAAATGCCCAGAAATACCAGGATTTCTGATAAATGATAAATTGAAAGTCATCCTCATGTGGTTAGGACTTTTGCCTGACTGATCTATTTGTCTGTCTAGCACAATCATATTTGTACTCCTCCTTTCTTAATTTATAGAATTTTAATGAAAAGGAGAGAACATGTATACTTTAGAGATAGTATCGTTACATCCACAGGCTTACTTGAAAATCGAGATTGACAGTGAGATACCACATCCCCTATGCCACCAGAAGAGAATTCCTGCCCAGTTCATTTTCTTACAATTATTGAACAGGGATTGTAACTTCACAACAGACTTACTAAGGGTACCAATTCATATCTATTTAAGGCAAATGGTTATTTGACGACCTTAGCCATCAGGATATTCCTGTGTATTAAATAATATGTGTAGCTTATTTTAGGATAAATTCTCTGTTCTGAAAAAAAATCATCATTTCTTTTTAGAAGACTGAATGGTTTCTTCTTTTTCATGCAGTGAAAATACTGTAAAAAAACAGCCTTGGAGACTAAATTGACAGTAACTATCTCTCAGTGATATTTCAGTAACAGAAAATACAATGTCTGATTATAAGCTGGAAAATGGAATATACTGATAATCCAAGTAGCCTACTTTATATTAAAAAAGCACTGTTGACTTCCACAAGCTTATATGATTAAGATGAACTCAGTTTTCCACTAGTGAAGGTTTTCTTCACAGTAAGTACTTGGGGCATAATTATAACATATGATCTAAATACTTTTCAGTAATCGTTATTGTTCCAAGGCATTAAAATTTTTCTACCTTCCCCATATCTTTGTACTTGCAAATACATAATGTTTCTATTTTTCCTTTTCTTTTCATATTTTTTTAAACAATTGTTATAACAACTGTGATCACTTGACATTGTTTCTGGTTGGAGGTGTTTATCAAGGAACCTCACATAACCTTCCATCCATCAGGGGTCATCTGCTTCCAGTCAAACCCCCCACAGCGATGACTCTAAAGTCTTTGTGAGGGTCTTGCCAATTAAGAGTGTTGTACAGTATTCAACTTAGAATGTTGGCTGTCACCTAAATGTCACATACCCCAAAACAAACTCATCACATGTCCATACCAAATAGTTCCCTTTCAATTTCCCAGTTTACTTAAGTACCAAGATTCTCTTTGTCATGCTTGGCCCATTCATTAAATATTTATGGATCATTTATTATGTGTTCAGCATTTGATTTGGTGCTCAGTATACAACGATGAACAATAAACATGGACCTTGAACTCATGCAGCTTTAAAAAATAATAATAAGTAAAGACATTAAAAATAGGAATAAATACTATGAAGCAAAAGTATTGAACACTCTGAAAGACTGACTCATAGCACAAAGGCAAAACTCTCTAATACATAAAGAACTCTAACAATCAGTAAGGAAAAAAAAATCATTGATAACTAGAAGTCTGTGAAACATGTGAGACATTTAGGACACAGGGTGCAAATACACTTAAACATATGAACATATGCTTAATTTCACTCTTAATAAGAGAAATACTATTATGAGAGATCATGTTCATCATGTTAGCAAAGATTAAAAAGTGGTTTTAATAAGACACTGTGTTGAGGGTATGTAAGAGGCGGTCATTTTCAAACTGATGGGAGTTTGAATTGATAACACATTTATGGGTAGAAACTATCTAAAATCTTAAATGTTAATAATAACATTTTGATGTTTACTGAGAAGTTTATGTGCTAGATATTGCTCTAAGCTCTATACAGGTACCAGCTCAGAAAACCTCACAATCCTAGGAGAGGTACTGGTGTTATTTTCTTCATTTTACAAATAAGGGAAAGGTTGTCACTTGTTGGCAAGGATAGAGCTGCAATGTTGAACTGTCTCTGTGTAGCACTGCATCCAGGTATTTCCTTCTAGGAATTTATCCGATAGATATACTTTACACATAAGATTATTAATTATGAAAACAAAAGACCAAAAATAATCTAAATATTCACCAAGAGGACTGATTAAAGTCAGACAATATATCCAGATAATGGGCTAATGTCCAGCTGTGAGAAAGAATGAGGAAGTAATTTATGTACGAATTTGGATGCAGGGTGCGGTACATCAAGGCAGGCTCTTTGGAGGAGCTGCAGTCACCCAGGCACAGAGGTGGGAAAGGACGCTGCAGGCCGAGTGCACAGCATGTGCAAAGGCTCTGGGCTGGGGAAGGGCTGGGCACGGTTCAAGAACTGAGATCATTGTTATTGGAGCAGGGAGGGAGGGAGCGGGGAGTGATAGCAGAGTTGGCTGGAGAGACAGGCAAATATAACTATGCATGGCTTTGCAGGCCATGTTAAACTTGCTTGGAAGTTTCTTAAAAAGGAAGCAGGAGATCTGCTCCTGTTTAAGATGAAGAAAACTGCAAGAGAAAGTTGCTTCCACCATATGTGGGGAAAAGATGCGCAACTTAAAAAAACAATATATTCTGAGCTCCTCAGAAACTGAGTTCCTCACCTGAGCTGACTCTTGGGTGAATTGAATTCCAAAGGGGCAACAAGCCTCTCTGAGGGAACACGGGGCAAACAAACTCCTTCTGTCTTGACAGGGCACAGGAAGACGAGGCGCAGCCATAAAAATGGGTAAGAAGAAAACATCTAGCAAATTAACAAATTTGTAAAGTTTGATTACAGACCAGCATTCCTGAGAGCCCTGGACCCGAGGAGAGCCTGCTCTCCCTGAAGAGCTCTTTGCGCAGGAGAGAGGCTGGGGGATGGGCAGGAGACTGAGGGCCCCGGGAGCGGTGCAGCTCAGCAGCCCCTGCAAGGGTTCCCGGTGGAGCGGGCACGCCATCTGCTCTGGCCCTGCGGGGGCACAACATGGTGACCCACTGCTATGGGTGGCACAGGGGTATAACCTGCAGGTGCCTGGACCCTCCTCTGAGATAAAATAATAGGTTGCTGCTGCTGGGAAAGAGAAGCAAGAGACCCCCACACCCTGGACAGGAGTCTGGGGAACATGAGGCAAAAGTCATCTGTTTCTGGGAGAGGGGCAAGAAATCATTACATCCCCACTCACTGCAGGGGCGAGGGCAGGAAACCTTCCGAATCTAGAATCCTGCACTGGTGCAAAGCAGACTCCACAGTCCAAAAGGAGAAGGGCAGGAAACCCACCTGGGTCCCGAGTAGGAAGTGGCGTTGTTTGTGACCCTCGAGACTTGGGCACACAAGGCCTGCCTAACCAGAGACTGGAGTAGAAAAACCAGCAGCCTCTCCTCAACCCGCCACCCCCTCACCTACCAGGAACCTTGCACTGTGCAAAGAGCAATGGCTGTCCCCCTCAAGGGGAGGGCAAGAGAACAGACACGAAGCGTTCCCAGAAGCAGGGGCGCAGG